TTTTTAGGAATTTTTAAAAATAAAAACAGCATAATTATGTTTAACAATTTATTTAAACCAGACGATGGCATGATTGACTGTGTAGTCATATGTACAAGGCGTAAACAGATTGACTGTTAACTGACAATATGAGTGTACGTCAGTTTGCGTGCTTATATTACCTTTTCAATTAGACGTTGTTATGTTTCAAATAAATTATAAAACTACCTTCCAATATAGAATTCTAACATCGTCAAATCAATTTCTTTGAGCTAGCCTCTGAAGTAATTTATACTCAGAGGTTCTTTTATTTTTTTGTTGTAGGAGTGAAAAGTATTTTAGTAGATTTTACTGTTGTCCACTTGTGTCTCTTCATGTAGAATGTTATGGCTGACAATGCTGTAAGTATAATTAACCCCTGCAAAGTCATAAATAACAATTATATAATTTTCAAATGAGTGAAATATATTTTAAGTTAATATGTATGTTGATTTACCCTCATGAACATTAACATTCTATCGTCATACTCTGGGTTTGATGTCCACATAAGGAATGTGGTAATATCTTTTGCTACTTGAGAAGCCGTTGGTGGTGTACCATCACCAAACTCCAAGACTTCATCGAAGACAACCTAAAATTTGTAATACAAATAATTCCAGAGAACAGTCCTAAAGTACATGCTTACAGCTTCTCACATAAGGATCTCATGTATATACCTGTGCCATACCAAGAGCTCCTCCTGGGAAATATGGGTTAAAATACTGACCATCTCTTAAAGATATACCAGCTGGTGGATCACAATAGCCAGTTAACAAAGAGAATACATAATTCTGAAATTTAAAGTATGTTTCAAATAATATAAATAATATTAAAAGTTACATGTACAATGAAAAGCTTGAGTGACATGTTTACCTCTCCATTAGGCCTTGCATTGATAATGTAACTTAAATCTGGTGGATAGGCACCATTATTTGCTGCTCTAGCAGCTTCTTCATTTGGATATGGTGATGGTACATGATCAGATAATTTACCAGGGCGCTTGAACATAGCTCCTGTACTATCAGGACCATCTTCTACCTACATAAAGCAGTATCTTTCTTACTAAATTTATTTCAATATCATAAAATTATTTTTATGAATATTAAAATTCATTACCTCAATTTCTTCTGCAAGAGCTTTGGCTTCTGCTTCTGTGTGTGTAACACCAACAAGTTCACGATAAGTTACATACTGTAAACTGTGACATGCTGAACAGACATTTTTGTACACCTCCCATCCTCGTCGCATACTAAATTATGAAATTTATATTTATGTAAGTAATATAATTGTATTTGTAATGCTTCATAATATTAATAATTTAATTACCTTGCGTGATCCAATGAATTGAAAATCCCATAAAAGTCCCATTTATAAGTTGGGACATGAGCACCCGAGGAGGCTTGCACAGATTTCTCCAATGCATAAATTAATGCAGTAATTCCCCCTGTTGTTACTCCTAAACATGTTAGTAACTGCAATGTTTATAGTAATATTAGTATTTTTTGTATTTTATTTATTTTTAATATGTGTTAAAGAATATTAAAACTTACTATTACTATTCTGTATTGAGTAGGGATTTAAGTATTGGATGTGTATTAGGATTAGGAATGGCTAAGACATCTTCAAATGACTAAAAATACACATACCGCTTTCGTACCCTTAGACCATTGGTTTGCTGTTGAAAAATTATGTGTTTGCTAAAATAAAAGTTTATATATTAATTGGGAACTTTAAGAGAATATTTGTCTTAATGCATAATGAAACTTTAAGAGAATATTTTTCTTTTAAATTGGTATATAAAACTGATAAAGTTACTACACTGTTAAAACAATAATCATTCAATGATTATGGACATTAATGGTTGTTACATTAATTTCCTTAATAGTGCCTTTAGTTCATCATACATATGATATACGTTTATATTAATGAGAAAAAAATCACGTATATTCTTATTTATAAATTGGTTTTTTTTATACAACCTACACAGTATTTACACACGTTTGATCATGGCAGCATCATAATTTTCAGCACTGATCACTATTACATAACATCACATAAAATGTCTTCGAAATCTTTAGCAAACTATTATCTTGTTCTAAAATCGAAGTACTTAGAAGTAAAATAATGATAAACAGTAATAAATTCAAGTGTCTTCAGAAAAAATGTCATAGCAGCCGACGAGTCGTGTAGTTCCATGAGAATCGTACAGTTACATTTAGAATGTCAATATTATAACATCAACCCTTCGACAAGACATAATATTTTTAGAATAAATGAGCAAGTGTATTAGAAATTAATTAAAAGTTTTTAAATGACATACCTGACTGAATAATGTGCCATAATTTGTTCGTAAAAGACCAGATTTACAAACTCGACCCAACGATGCCGCCATGTTGGCCAAAGGTACAATGTACGGAGACAGCTAATCAATGTAACATCTGTAGACAGAATTTTCATGACTCAATAAAAGAGATTTCCATTTGATATTATTTAAATCTTCTGGTTGTAATATTTATAGATTTATTAAGAGAATACACAAACCTCTTGCAAGATAGGGCCGAAAGAAATGTACTTACACAACTTTCAAGTCTTTAAGATGATTTTAATCAAGGATGCCAATATGGAGAGACCAACTCTTCAACGTTTGAATGCATCCACATGTGTCCACGCTGCATAAATATTAGAAATATTTTCTCATTTACATACTTTTTATTTACTGTAATGCATTTTTTATATTTTAGCGTTATATATTTATTTAATTTCTATATGTACATGATACTTGAAATACATGTAACTATACACAAGAGTCGGTGCATAATATCTTATTTGAGAAAGTTCTTTATCTTATAAAATTTAACTATGTCAATACTTAAAATTTATTTTATTTTCAATTTTGTTACATTTCATACTTACAAATCATTTCTCGATTTCTGGGGGCGTGGCGCATGCGCAATTTTTGTTGGCAGACTTGGCAGTCACTGTCGACCATTGGTGTCAGCTGGTGGTTTCGTCAGATGGTATCGTGAATCCTATAATATCACATCGATCATTGTTCCGAAGAAAACGATTCAAGATGAGCGGAGGAATGCCAGAATTGGGCTCGAAAATCAGTTTAATATCGAAGGCAGATATTCGTTACGAAGGCCGACTTTTTACTGTGGATCCTCAAGAATGCACGATTGCTTTAGCTAATGGTGAGTCTGAAATCAAGATGGATACCGAAATCGGTTTTGCCGCTGTTCCTTTTCCCGGTTATTTCATTATAGTAACCGCCACTATTAAACGTCGACTACCCTTGTCCTTTTGTTTTGAATGCTTCGTTCGCATATCATTATTGAGAATTTAACAGTTTTTTCGTATATATTATACTTGAAAATACTTACGAAACAGTCGGTATTTGATTAGTCCGGTATAGCTTCGATACAAAACAACCGGGGTCACCCGTCATTTATAACGGGTATTTTGCCGAATATCTCTGATTTAAATATATGTTTTTTAAACCTCTATCTATGATTAATATATTTTACATTTCCATAAATATAGTAAACTTTTATTTAACAATCCTAAAATTGCAAGAATTTATACTGAGATGTACACTGAGTAGAATACTCTAATATGTGTTACATATACATAATTTACCTAATTGCACATTTTTTAATTAAAAAATTATAAATAGTAAATCTTACTAGTATCTGGGATAATTAATATATATTTTTTGAATAGCTTTATAATATCTCAAATCTAAGTTTCTTTTTCGTTTATCAAAGTATAAATAAAATCAAACGTAATGGATAAAGAAATATATTTAATTAATATGTAATTATTTCCAATGATAATATGGGATAATTATGTTTGTATAAAGTTGGGTTGTCTGAAAGCCATTCCTTACATCTACCATTGTGTGGAATGTTTGTGTTTCATGCTTGTCCTGTTTATGTTCTCTGTCCTTTCTTTTTTCAACCATATTACAAAACTGTTATAATGAATCGTTAAATTTGAATTTAATATCATCGCAAATTAGATTTCTTTTGATTAAAGTTTATTTTATATTGTTGGTTGCTATAAATTCATATGTTATTGACATTCATATATAATTTGTTTCAAATATATAGATAATGAAATTAAATAATATAGAAAACATCTATTACCATATATTTTCAATCTTTTTCTTTTTAATAACATAGTGCGTTCTTTTGGAACTGAGGATAGAGAAACGCAACTTCCTGTGGCACCACAAAATCAAGTCTACGAGTACATCTTGTTCCGTGGTTCAGATATTAAAGATATTCGGGTGGTGAATAATGTTAGTTCTATTCCAAACGATCCAGCCATTGTGCAGGTAATTATAAGTATTATTGAACTCTAAAACATAGTTAGGTGCCAACATAACAATGATTGCTAAATAATTGTGTTTATTAATAGATGACGGTGCAACCGTCTATGAACCAGCAGTCATATCAACCACAGCCCAGTTATGCACACCCCATGATGGGTCAGATGGGCCCAATGGGTGGACAATATGGAACACCTTATGGCATGACAATGGGTACCATGGGACCGGTAATGGGAATGCCCACTGCTGCTAGAGATCCACGTGGACCAATGAATAAACAGCCAAGTGAGTTGAGCTTGGGCTCTAGTGAACCCAATGCCATCTCTATCCCAAACTCACTACCAACGGCCAATGTCGACCCATTACCAAAAGACCAATCTCTGGAAGATGGTAAACTGTTTTTGCTATGAACTATCCTTTGCCAATGGCATGCTTGCTGCTTCTACTTTGGTAATGCTTGCTGATTTCATTTTTTTCTGATCAGAAGTTTGCTAATGCTCTTTTCTTTTTGAACATGTATGCGCTCTCGCTTATGTTGCTGATTGCAGGTTTTTTATTTAATCCTTATTAGAACTTTGCTTGTGCTTGATCTGACCTTGAATTTGTACTTTCTAATGTACATATATACGTATTTAGAAATATATTTGGCACGTATGGTATTATTATTTTATTAATATTATATATTAAATATTATTTGACGAACACTTTCTTCTAATATAATTTTTATAATTAGTTATGTAATAATTTTAATTCTAAAATTATGAAACTGAGTGTTTACTTGCTTGAAAGACCAAATCATTAATAAATACAGTATCATTATATTATATAACTCAATATTAGTAAGTAAAATATTTGAATTTACAATTTAACCTATTAAATGATTTATTCTTTCCATATACAATTATGCCAATTGTTTTCAATAATTTTTGGTTGATCAAAAGTTTGTGCATGAACATTTTTATTATTTTTTTTAACGATTCATAGCTTCTTTTTACATTTGTATAATATTAGAAGTATTATGCACCAGTAAGTAACACAATAGCAAGAACAGTTAAAATTTCTGGTAGAAACCTTTCATGCTCCGTTCTAAAATCTTTCTTTATAGATATAGTGAATGTAGTTTTGAACGTAATTCATATGAGGTTACAAATGCAAGTGAAATTTTTGAACAATTTTTCAAACATCTCATACTTAGTTTACATCTTTTACTAAGTATCTTACTAATCATAATTTCTATTTAACGCATGGAAATGAAATATATAATTATTTGCGTTCTTATCATAGGCGTATTAGATCTTATCAGTGGTGGTTCAAGATCAACTACTCCAACTTCATCTTCATTAACAAGAAAAAGTCCTACCATCGATCAGGGTGTTCAGGTAAGTCATCAGCAGCAGCAGCAACAACAACAAAGTGGTCCTATTGGCAAGCTTGGCGATAAGACGAATATAAGAACCATTCAACCCGCTCGACGTGACCATGATAGGTAATGAAATCGTTATATTTATTTTGCTTAAAGATAGGTCGAAGTAATAAGACCTTAAGTCGTGAATTATTAGGTATCCGACATTTCATATTATACAACCTAATATATTTAAGTGTCAATTCAGTGAAAATATTAAATCAAAAAGAATGTTAAATAAATATTTACTATAATTTATATTATAAATTTAATACATAATAATATTTTATGGTATCTAATGTGTGGTATCGCACTCTTATTTACAGTCATACCGGTGGTAAGACGGGAGGCACTGTGTCTCAGTATAACGATGGAAAATGTGATCCTATGAAGCAAGATGGTCAAATGCAAGGGCAAGGTACCCACGTGCAAGGCGGTCGAGGGAATCGTGGTGGATGGATGAATCGTGGCAACATACGGGGCAGAGGAAGAGGTCGCGGAGGTTTTAGAACTCAACCTGGTAATGTTGGTGCCAAACCGAAGAATAGACTGAAATTCGATAACGATTATGATTTCGAGCAAGCTAACACAGAGTTTGAGGAATTGAGGTAAATAATTCTTCCACGCACAACGCGCATTTACGTAGCATGGTTAGTGCCGGATTCATTTCAAGTACAATTTGAAATGTGCAAAGTGGAAACCAATGCAAGAATAAAGTTTCATGCGTTTTTAAAGTGACACATGAATATGATTTGTGTGTTGCTTACGCAACGCAGCGACAAATTATCTTTTCATATAACAAATATTTATATGTTTGAAGAAAATATTCAGCGTTTCCTGTGTTTCGTTGCAGATCTCAGTTAGCGAAAACAAAAATCGATTCTGGTACTGACAATGAAAAGAAGGACGATAGCGGCAATGAAACCGGAGCAGGCGAAGGAGAACCTGAAGAAGAACCAGAGATTGTTCATTACGATAAATCGAAATCTTTCTTCGATAACATTAGCTGCGAAGCAGTTGAGAGGAGTAAAGGGTAAGTTTTCAATTCTGTTGTTTGACATATTTCTATTATTTCGAATATATAATAATTTATCGTGCAAAGTGTGTGTTTTACGTGAAAGATAAATTCAGAGTTTAAATATAATCTGATTGCGTTCAAGTGGTGCGTATCACCTTGTTTATTATACTGTTAAAATGTTACAGTGGGTTTCAACGTACAGATTGGAGGACAGAGCGTAAATTGAATTCCGAAACGTTCGGTGTGGCGTCGATGAGGCGCGGTAGTTTCCGTGGACGCGGTTTTTATAATCGTGGAATGGGAGGCATGTATCGAGGTGCTGCTGGTACTGGTACTGCCGGTTTCCGTGGTGGTTACAGAGGTTCTAGAGGCGGTGGCAACCGTAAGCCAGCGAACCAACAGCCGAACAACCCTGGTAGTCAAAACCAGCGCACGACCAACGAACAATCCGCTCCTCAATCGCAGCAGAACAGTCGCGTTGTATCATTTTGAACGAGCAACGCGCCACTATATATGTATAAGTATTCACTCTAGATTAAGATTTTTACAATACGTGCTCTGCCCTTACGGACTGATATGAATTCGAGTTTAAAAGAAAATGAACGGGAGTAACAATGAAAAAAAAAAACAAAGTTCTTTGA